AAAATATGCAAAACACCACAGAATTGCCGGGGCTTATGTGTGGTGCTTGTGTCCCAGAAGCTCTGTATGCTCAGCGGTCAGACACAGACTCCCTGCCTCACTACACCACTCAGGAGAGAGCAGCAGGGCAGTGGGCAGCGGTGCATGATGGGAAAGCTAAGCCCAGGTTCCCAGAAGACCTTCCAGCTCTGTGTGTGTGCAGTGTTTGATGTGCAGTGCAGTAAACAGCACAGAAGATCTCTGCTCATTCTGGTGTCTCCCCAGAGATATGCCAGCGCATAAGCACACTAATGAGCAGGGTGATTACGAGAAGGCTTTCAGGAAAATGTTACAAATGTAAATGTGCATGGCTGTCTCTGCTGTGACAGAAAGCATGTGTGTTTTTAAACATGGATATGCATGGTTTGTCAGATATAGGGAAGTGATTAATAGTGAAAGAGTTTTTAATATCTGAAATCTTTTTTCCTTTCATCTCTTCTTGTTTGGGTGTTTTGGGACTAGAAACCAAAAGAGAACACCAGGGAATTATAAATTATAGTTAGAGATTGCTGCGACTTTTAAATTGGTTGATTATTTTCACAGCTGAGTTGTTGAACTGCTATATTACATACATTACATAATATAAGACATTGTGTGCAGAACCGGCTAGTGGAACAACCGCCTATGATTTGCTGTTGTATTCAAAGCTACTTGAACAATTTTAATCTGCTGTAAGCAGGGGAGACCAAGGCAATTGCACTTCAAAAACATTTTTAATTTTTTCTTCAGAACTCCCAGGCTATTACAAATGTATCAGCTGTGTTTTAGTGTGTGTGCATGTGCGTGTAAGTATAGAGAGAGAGTGTACCAATTGTCCCTGTCATAGTGGTCGTCCACTTCACCTCACATGAGAGCACACCTCAGAGTACTAATATCATACTGCATTAATACTTACTAATAATACTGAACCGTTTTTTCCTTTATTCTGGCACAAATTTTTTTAGCTGTCAGAAATTATTTGTGTTCAGTCATAGTTGGACCTAGGTACTTATTATTTGATAAAATGTTTTTTTTACTAAAAGTAATTGTTTAGTTAAGTAGAACAGTACTCTTGATAGTTTAAATGAAATAGTGTTAATTGTGCATTATGAACACTTTCAATTTGGTCATTAAATTTTTCTTTCAAAACTAGTGTTGTTGCATTTGCCCAGACTCTGTGGTAGCTGCCAGCTACAGTGTTTGCAACTTTTAACCAACAACCTATCGATAAAGAAGACAAATGTTTAAACTCAAAGGCATCAAAACTTTAGCAGAAAATAAAAATGGGCATCAGATTTTTATATAAAGTGACAAGATTGCTTTTCTCAGGCAGAGAGAGAACACTACTGAATACAGCGTATGCTGAAAAGTGTCATCAATGTTATTGAAGAAATCTTGTGCGTTACAATTGCCCCTGGTCTCCCCGACTACATTGGTCTCCTGGTCTCCCCGACTACATTGATAAATATCTTTGCTCTTCTGGCTCAGAATATATACATGTTCACACATATAGACAGTTGCAGTATTATATTTTGTTTTAGAGTTGTGTAGCTAAGGCATTAATCAAATGCGTTAACATGCCTACTCTTTCTCTCTTTCACATGAAGCATGGGAAAGTCTGATTCATTTCAGTGATATGGTTAGTGGGACTCTTCATTTAAATGAACCAGTTCAGAAAACAATTCATTTTAAACTACTCTTTTAAGTCCCAGTCTAGATGCCTACACAACATTTTACTTTCTTTTAAGTCTAAAGACACAAAATAAGGCGTTTTCTTGTTTTAGTGGCAGTATCTTTGGATAGATTTAAACAGCTTTACTGCTCTTATTGCAAATAAAATAAATTATCTGATGGTTAAGTATTTAAATAGATATTGAGTGCTGTTAGCTGACTGAATCTTCAATGTAATTGAACTACAGTAACTTGAAATTATAAGCTGCAATTTCACATTAGCTCCCACTGCAGAATTTTATTCATTTATTTTCCTTTTTCAGCATGCGTGAAGGGTGGACATGTTATTTTTGTCCATTAGCTTATTACATACCATCTATTCAGACAAATAACCCTCAGGGATTTCTCAGGCACCTTATCAAGGGACTTACTTGTGTAGATTGCCTTCCAGAAAAAAAAAAGCTAATTTTAAAGCAACTGGGATGAATCAAATGTTATGACAAACCATTTTGGGAATAACAAGAGGGGAGGATTTATCACTAAATAACCAGAAGCTGAGCAATTATCATGTCATGCATGAGCTGGCCATGAAACCAGTGTCTGATGTGCAGAGATCGCTCTCGAGTCCCAACGCGCAGGTGCACAGTGTGAATGTGCTCGTTTTTTTTCCTCTGATGGCCTCAACTGGTGATGGCAAACTCGGAGAATGGGATCTGCTTGGTCATCTTTATTAATTTCTTTGTTCTATATCTGCCGGCGTTACATTTTGTCACATTTGTAAAAGTTTGTCTTTACAGCAAAGCCCGTTGTGGGCAGAGGAAATCGTTACCTCCCTGCAGACTTAATTAGGCTGGATGGTGGGGGTCGTCGCCCACGTGCTCTCGGTTTCCGTTATGTTTCAATAACCCGTCAATAGAAAGCAAAAGAATAAAGCATGCATTGTGGGTGCTATGCCTCAGTGCTGTCTCTGCAGGCGCTTGGCACCTTTGATTTAATAAACTCATCAATGATCACTTCTAAAATGAAGCTGATCACTAATAGTGCTTCTGAATCCCAAAGCATCGATTGCAATGTTCATTAATTCACCGAGCACTTCCGCCTCCCCCTTGAGATCATGTGTTTATTATACAGGGATATATTTTTTTTCATTTTAATATAGTCCTGTGCAATGATTATTGCATGTTCTGCCAGTCCTCGCCTGCGGATGGGCTCAATATGGCAGATTCTATGAGCATCTATATTAGAGCTGTAGTGGTGAGAGATTCAGTCCATAAGTAGTCCTGGGTCACACAGTAAACACTGCTGATTGCGGATCGACTAGCCAGTCAGCAGCAGTATACCAGTCAGGTTTGAAACGCCACTCTGGAGAAAAATTAGACTAATAATTTACCCAACAGAATCCTCCGTTTTAACAACAAAATGTGCAGATCAATGGTCATTTGATCGATGCTTCTTAGATTATTTATTTACGAGTCATAAAACCGCCCGTTTCTATGGACACTTGAACAAGAGGATATGAAAAATCCAGTGGGTTGCTGTCTGAGGGCTAGGATAAGGCATTTGGCGCTGTTATTTTATTGTTTATGGTGCAAAGCATTTGCTTTTGGCTACCGTGTGACTCCACGTAATGGAGTCATCCATCGCAGCTTTCTCAAACGAACGAAGTATCTTTGTTCTCTTTTTCTTGTTCCAACAATTTTCTAATCCGTCATCGTCTTCTGCACCAGTGACCTAAGATTTATCCATCAATATGTGAGAACAACAGATTGATTTGACCTTTCCTGTGTTACTGCAGATGTCTGGTGCTATTTGGATTGCCTTGTATTTGACCAGGACGCATGCTTGCACTGCCTCCTCTGCTGGCAGCTGCAGACTACAGATGTAGCTCTCGAGCGGGAAGCAGCGTCTTTGCCACGCTTATGAACGTCTCTGCTTTATTTCATCTTGTGGCAGATGTCTGGAAGATTATGTGTGTGCATGCTTTCAGTGCATTGTTTTCTGCTTATGGACATGGTTTGTGGCGGTATGATGGTGTAAACATGTACCAGGTGCTGCAGGCCTGGGTTTTGTGTTTAGAGTGACTGCTAACAACACAGCAGATGTTGAAGTCAAGAAAGCAAGGAAGGGTCAGAGGAACCGGATTCTTCAGACTAACCCTGTTCTGATCCAGATTAAAAGGTGCAGGCGGTCTTTTATAAACAGCAGTCCTGATATGTGAATCATCACAACAACAGGAAGGTGCTAACGCAGACTATTTAGCTTTGACCAGCATGCTGATTCATTATGCTTCAGTCTTGGTTAAGCGAGTTATTTATATTCATAAATAGCACTAATTAAATATATTAAACAGACAATGCATTATAGTCCCCATTTTGTTAAGTGCTACATATTATTCTGTGATAAAGCAGGTGTATATATATATATATATATATGATTTATCCCGGTTAGTTGAAGAGAGCAATCAGAACAAACAGAATTCTCAAAGCTTCATACAAGAGGGAGAGTGGACATTGTTTCAGCTTGTTTGATTATTGCCTTTATAAAATTGATGGTGCGATACTATATTAGAATAAATAGTTATGTAGCTAAGGATTTTTCAAACGGGGTCTCAGTCATAAGTAATTTTATTTAGTAAATAATAAACACATTATACATAACTATTTTAATAATTAATTGTAATTTTTTAAAATATAATTCATTTTATTTATTAATTTTATGGTATTGACAGCCATAGCTGTAAGTTAATACATCTAGTACTTACATGAGTAAATATGAGTACCATAATGTTGGGTCGAAAAAAATACAGTATCAATTAAATATAATAGTTTATTGCACAATATAATTATTTTGTTATACATATATTTTTTACACACACACACATATATTTGCTAATAATATGTTTATTTGATATGTAATTATATACATTTTTGCAGTAAAAGCTGCCTAGTTTTTATAAACTGTCCCTCACAGCTAGAGTGCCATAAAATATTTGAAAAATCCCTGTCGTAGCTTATTACATGAGGTTTATTATCTCTGATGGCCTGTGGCACTAAACCCTCATACCCTATATAAGCTCTATAATAGATTCTAGAACATTTTCTGGTCCTCACATGGGCTCATTTGAAATCAGTGGAGTGATTGTGAAACCATCATACTTCAACTTGTGATTCAATTAACACCATTCATGTCATAATATTGAGAAATCACTCAGATGTAATTTAATCACTGGAATGGACATTATGGAAATGCATGGATTATTAGTGTTTGATTCATTTGATTAAACGTATTTAATGTGTCTCTTTCAAATGCAGTTGCCCCCACAACCTCCACCGTACGTTCGGAGTTCTTCAAGCCGTGCCAAGACAGTCAGGAGATGGCCTTCTGTTTGAATGAGGGAGAGTGCTTCATCATTGAAACAGTGGCAGGTGTACACAGACACTGCAGGTGAGCCTATGTGTGTGTGTCAGATTAAAGATGTTTTCCATCTTTACCATTTCCTCAATAACAATGACAAACCCCAAAGATATGCATTTTTATGGTTCTTTCCGAGTAGCTATTACCCTTTTTACTAATCCATGGGCAAATGCAAAGAAAACTAAGACTGTCTGCGCTGGATTGGGTTAATGTATGCTGAAAATCACAAAAATAGAGTGCAAATTACTCCAATGATGTGAGATGAAAGTAGAAGTCATGCTGAACGATGTGGTCTATTTTGGACATCTTGGCACATGGACTGTGAATAAGGTTGAGAACTGGTTCCATTTTTTAAATAATGCCAAAAACGAATGATGTTCTGTTAATGGTTCATGCATGTGCATGCTTCCACTGATACCATAATAATATATGTTTGCATAGAAAAACAATGGAAAAGCGTTCCAGAGCGGAAGGCAAAAACGCATTCAGCGTGAATGGCCCCTAAAAGTCCTCCTGCAATACGACAAAATGGTGCCACAACACAGCTACTCTTATGAGCGTTTTTTTTATCAAAAACCTCCTGTTCTTTTTAGTGAATCAAAGACAGTGCAATGCTATTGAGTGGTTTCTTTTCAGTGAATCAAAAAATTATAGCTACGCCAGTGTAGTCCAATTTCTGAGTCGGTTCTTTTTAGAGAATCAGAGACATTTAGTGCAACTAGAGTAGTCCAATTCCCGAACAAATCATGCTATTGAGTCGGCTCTTTTCTGTGGTATCAAAAACATACAGTACAGCTCAGCCAGTGCAGTCCAATTTCTGAACTCTTGACTGACTCTTGAGTCAGTTCTTTTTAGTAAATCAAAGACATTTTGTGCAATCAGTGTAGTCAGTTTGCTGAACAGATGATTCTGAATGAAACGATTTTTATTAGTGAATCAAATGCATACAGCTTACAACCAAGTGTGAGACTTAAATGGGAGTCGTTTATCCACTGTTCATATGACAATGTGTAGCTAACAAATTATGAGATAGTATTTGATCAAAATAAAAGAATTACATTTTAACACACTGTTTGTTTAGTATTGTTGTGTACTATATTGTTAAGCTCAATTATTGTATTGCATTTATGGGTGCCTCTAAAAAGATCTAAAAAATCATTAAGTCCAGACACATTTATGTATCACTTTATACAATACAGATTGTTTCAAAGCAGTTCTACAGAAGATAATAGTGTCATTATTCAGATCAGTGTAGTTCATTTTTGTTTCAGTTTAGTTCAATAACTATGTCAATGTTGCAAAGTTCATCAATTATGGCTTTACAGAAGGCGGTGGTGTCATTGTTGATGTTAATCTAATAATCTAGCTCAATTGTCATCCAATGTGTCAGTCCAGTTAAATCAAAAATATTGTTAAAGAATCATTAATAAAAACATCAAGGAACCAGATCAGATGCAGAATCATATGACAATTTCTATCACTAGCTGTAAATCTGAGGGTGCTTTGCCTTGAGCCATGCCATGAGAACTTGCAGATGTTTAGGAATATCCATTTAGTTTTATGCCTTATCAGAGGTTCTCTTTGCTCCCCAAGCCCCAAGACCTGCCTGCTCCTCTTTTTCACTAAAATGTAATCATGTTTTTTAAGTGTTTTTTTTTTTTTTAAATAACCACCGCTACCTCAGGCTAAAGGCTTAACACAGGCTAATGTTCAGTAGAGCACATGCAGTAAATGTAATCAGAGGTTTTACCCATATTATGGCAGTTATTTCTCTCTCTTTTATCCTTTTTTTCCATTTGGCTTTTTATCAATCCCACTAAATGGATTGTTGTTCCCAGTCATTGCCATGGTAACAGACCTTTGGTGTTCATTATATGCACACAGATAATAGAGCTGTGTCCGAGTATTGCAGTAATATAAACTATTTATAATTTAATGTTCATGGCACAGAGAGGGTGCCTCCAATATCAGTCGTTTGTGCAATTGTGAATTGTTTTCCATCACCTTTATTGCACTTATAAAGTGAACGGGGGTAATGAGAAAGCCAGGTTTCTCATAATATTAGATGTTCATAATAAGTAAATGTGATATACTTTCGTATCCGTGAATCATTAATAAAAACATCAAGGAACCAGATCAGATGCAGAATCATATGACAATTTCTATCACTAGCTGTAAATCTGAGGGTGCTTTGCCTTGAGCCATGCCATGAGAACTTGCAGATGTTTAGGAATATCCATTTAGTTTTATGCCTTATCAGAGGTTCTCTTTGCTCCCCAAGCCCCAAGACCTGCCTGCTCCTCTTTTTCACTAAAATGTAATCATGTTTTTTAAGTGTTTTTTTTTTTTTTAAATAACCACCGCTACCTCAGGCTAAAGGCTTAACACAGGCTAATGTTCAGTAGAGCACATGCAGTAAATGTAATCAGAGGTTTTACCCATATTATGGCAGTTATTTCTCTCTCTTTTATCCTTTTTTTCCATTTGGCTTTTTATCAATCCCACTAAATGGATTGTTGTTCCCAGTCATTGCCATGGTAACAGACCTTTGGTGTTCATTATATGCACACAGATAATAGAGCTGTGTCCGAGTATTGCAGTAATATAAACTATTTATAATTTAATGTTCATGGCACAGAGAGGGTGCCTCCAATATCAGTCGTTTGTGCAATTGTGAATTGTTTTCCATCACCTTTATTGCACTTATAAAGTGAACAGGGGTAATGAGAAAGCCAGGTTTCTCATAATATTAGATGTTCATAATAAGTAAATGTGATATACTTTTGTATCCGTTAATTACGTTTTAAAACATGCTGTGTTATTTTATCACAGTCATTTGCCTGTAATTGTCTAGAAGGATGGCAGAAAGAGTGCTAGAGTGGAGAATTACAGTGTTAGGATTAATAAACAGAATGTGTCTATTTCACACCAAGGAAAATCTGACAGAAGGGATTGTTCGATGCACTTCACTGAAGACAAATGATAAAGATGTAGATGTATAATGCAGGAGCAGGATCTTGGAAACCTTGGTAGGGGTATGAAGGGATATGACTTGGCAAAATTAATCATATTAATGATGACGATATCCTCTTTTTCAAGTTTCTTATCAAGCTCTCTCTTTTCCGAGGAAGCAGTGGCGATTAAACTGTCAGATCTCGACACACAGTGTTAATCCAGGAAGCTGTCTTTCCTCCTTTTCGATGGCTTTAGGGAGGACTCGCCGCACTTGTACCCTCTTTAATGCCCAAATAACATCTGAAGGATGTTAACTAAGTAAGACTACAGTCATGGCCAAAAGTTTTGGCAGTGACATAAATGTTGTGTTTTGCAAAGTTTGCTGCTTAAGCTGTTGTGGTGTTCGTTCACATTGTTTCTAGATTATTGTGTAGAGTGATCAGATGCATTTTAAATAATTGCTAAAACTTAATTTGCCAAAAAATGAACTTTTCACAAAAAAACTAATTTCACTGTTTTTGGATCCTGAGACAAAATGACCAGCTAACACTGATTGACTAATCATATCAGCAGCACATGTGAAAGTGTGAATGAGAACTAGTCAGGTTAATCACTATCATACTAATTAGATTGTAAGAGCAGACTGATTGCTATAAAAGGAGGGAAGAAGCGCTTCCAATCATTGTGTTCTTGTTAGCAATGGTTACCTCCAAAGAAACACGTGCTGCACGTCATCATCACTCACATGCAAGGAAATTGCTACAAAGAATATTGCACCAATAAATTATTCAGTGATTCACTCATTAACAGTCAAATGCTTTGTTCCTGAATGAATCAGTAATTTGAATGAATCGGTTGAATCTCAGTGACTCATTAACAGTCACTTGCTGTCACCTACTGGCTGTTTTAATTTCACATTTCGAATTTTTTCATGTTTTAAATTATTTCAAATATCAGTATTCAACTTTTTATGTTAAAAACAAAACATTAGGCCTATTTATGTATTTGTAACTGCAGTTTAAATGCATCCATGTCCTCTCTGAGATACATAAACTGTGTAAATACATCTAAATGCTATTTCAGATGCAGATTCCAGAAATGTTTTCTTATGTTGGAATGAAAGACACTAAGTACCAGATGAAGTGCCTCTTATTCTTACCCAAAAATACAAAATGGAAGAAAAAGTTAAAACTGAACACAATCTTGCTACTCAAGCTGTGTATGAACATTTTTATATATATTTTTTTGCTTCTTTTTCATTTTGCATTTACTTGTACTTTGTACTTGTACTTGTACTTGTACTTTCAATACTTAAGTACGGAATAAGTTTTAAGTTTAAGATTTAAAAAATACTTTTCGTACTTAAGTACAATAAATATCACATACTTTAAGACTTTTACTCAAGTAATATTCTAAACGGTGACTTCAACTTCTACCAAAGTCATTTTCTGGTAAGATATCTGTACTTTTACTTGAGTATAGCTTTCAGGTACTTTATACACCACTGAGTATACCATAGAAACATGTGGGAAAATAATCTACAAATACTGAAGCAGCAAACTTTGCAAAACACAAAATTTGTCACTGCCAAAACTTTTGGCCATGACTGTATATAATTATGGCATGCATAAACACATTAATTTTCAATCAAGAATATAAACATCCTATGCAAATTACCTTAGCATTGTCTCAGCTACAGCAGAGACTATAGCCTGAATGGGAAAAAAAAGATAGTTTTCTGCTTACGTTTATGGTAGGCATGTGATGGTATAAACTTTTGGTTACACTTAATTTCAAGTGTCCTTGTTACAGTGTAATTATACATTTAAGTACTGAGTAATATTAATGAACAATGTGTACTTACTATAGGGTTAAGATTAGGATTAGGGTTTGCTTTAGGGTTAGTTGCATGTAAGTATGCATAATTTATTACTACAGTATTTATTACTATTATTACTATAGTAAGTACATGTAAAGTAACAAAAAAACTGCAAAATAAAGTGTTACCCAAATTTTCATATCATGATAATTGCTGAAACAATTATGGTATTGAATTGCATTACAAAAATGTATTA